CGTCAATGATTTTCACTGCTCTGTACTTTATTTTGTGCAAAAATAATTGAGACGCTGAGAAATAGTTAAAAATTTCACGGACCGGCACCTGAAAGATGAATTTGAAACCTAGGAGGGTGAATATCCCTCCGAAACTTCACTCTCCTAATTTTCTAGCTTTCGAATGATGTTTCAGACAAAACTTCCACGTGTCGTGAGACTTCGGTATACTTAGAAATTGAAGTCGAGTTTGTGAAGCTCCTGCTTAGGCAGGAAACATTCTTCTGAAATTTTCAGCCCCTAACTCTTCTAGCTCCCGAAATAGTGATTTTTCTCGCCAAAACTGCCACGACAAGAAAAATCATTATCTCGGGGAAAATTTGCGGACGTGGGCAGGGGATGGATGACACGCAAAAATTTCAACTTCCTAGTTTTTTCAGTTCACAAGATAATCTTCCTGCCGAAACTTTCACGGGACCGTAATTGGGGTGCGTGAAGGCTGGATCCAAATTTACGGAGATCGTACGTTGATAGGAGATATCGCTTTAAAATTTTAGATTCCCAACTTTCGTGGTTCCCGAAATAATGATTTTCCCTGCCGAAACTTTCACGACGTCGTAAGTGTTACCTGGACGTACGGGAAAGCTGAATTTAAATTTTCAGGGTCGTACGTGGACAGTGCGCACTATCGCAAAACTACAGCTTTTTGGCTTTTATGGTTCCCGAGGTAATAATTTACCCGCTAAAATTTTCACAGGCCATAAGTGATACCCGAAAGCGCGGGAACGCTGAATTTGGATTTGGAAGGTCGTATTTGGGCAGGGGGTCATTATCTAAAAATTTCATCTCCGCAGACCCAGTGGTTCCCGAAACAATAATTTACCCGCAAAGATTTTCACGGGACCGTAGGTGGCACTGGCGGACAGGGGAAAGCTGAATTTAAACTTTCTGAGTAGCAAATGGGCAGGGAAAATGCCCACAAAATTTCAGCCTTCTAGCTTCCATGGTTTCCGTGATAATAATTTCACCCGCTCAAACTTTTGCGGTGCCGTAAGCGACACCCGCGGATACGGGGAGGCTGAATTTAAATTTGCGCGGTCGCACTTTGGTGGGGAAGGTTCTCCTAAATTTCCAGCTCCTTAGATTTTGTGGTTTCCGAGTTGAAAGTTGCGGGCAAGTTGCTGCGGACACACATACACACACATACAACTCACACACACAGAGACAACCCCATGACAATATGCGTTTTGTACTGCTGCCACACAGCACAAAACGCATAAAAATAAAAATTAACATCGGCAATTAAATAAATTCTTTGTCGGTAAGAAATATCATCGGTGCTCCTGAAATGATAACGTCCAAGGCCGAGGAGGTGGCGATGCTCAACACAAATAAGACACACAGCGACTTTTACCTCATCCTGAAATCACACTTTGTAAACGGTGATAAAACGCACAATCCAGCATTTAAACTAAGGACCTGTTGTTGCGCTTTCGCAAAAACAAAAACAATCCGGCAAACTGGAAGACCAAGCATATCCCGGCTTCAACTCCCCTTCCATTACCCCGTATTTACTTTCGTTTAGCCCGTCGTATTTCTCAAAACCCCGATTGCGTTACCTCATGACTAAACTGGTACGTTGCA